CTATGAAGCAAAGGCCAGAGAAAAGCAGAATCAAAGGAGTCAGTCTGGGGAATTCTCCCTCTCATTGTCCCCAAGGCAGCTGTCTCAGGTTTACAAAGTTGTTTGATGCTCCAGCCTTTATACAGTCTCTCCTGGGAGCGCCTCCTTTCATGGCTAGTTTTAGCTTTTGGCAAGCATGACCCCGGGGGCTCTGAGACTGGGCCTTCTTGCCTCAGCACACCTTGTTTCTTTCTGTGGCTCCCCAGTGAGTCCAAATGAGTAGATACTCCTGAGAGAGACTGTGAACATAAGAGCATAAGTATGGTCCATCTAGCTCAGTGGCCAATGCCAGGTGCTTCAGAGGGAATGAACAGAACAGGTAATCATCAAGTGATCCATCCCCTGTCACCCATTCCCAGCTTCTGGCAAACAGAGGCTAGAGACACTATCCCTGCCCATCCTGCCTGTGACACCGGCAGATGAAGTGTTAGCTCTTGCAAAAGCCCCCATGTCTTAATTGAATATGCACAAATGCATAGCTGGAATCAAGTCTGGCTCACCTGTGTTACTATTGTTAAAACAGGTATTAGAATTATAAGAATGTGTTTAGTGTTTAGACTTTATTGAATGCTTGTGAATTGCTGCCTGGATTAATATCTGACTAGTTGCATTGTGAGCCTCTCTGGCTATGTAAATCACCAGACAGGAGAGAGGCTTTACCTATGTGAAGTGCTGATTGGCAACAGAATGCACTGCATGCTACCTGGCAGGAAAGGTCCATCAACACCAAATAGACTATTATGGGATGTTAAAGAAGACAAAAGACTGTTGGTTGTGCTCTTGACTTCCCATTAGCTGAGTTTGCAGCTCAGAGCACATGGCAGGAAGGCGATAAAAAACCCCATTCAGAAAGAACTGATTATCTGTATGCTGCTTGGACTCTAGGGGGCAAAGTTTCTAGGCATAAGCAAGAGTTCCCCAGCTGATTAGCCTGGGTTAGTCCTAAGGAAGACAGAGCTTAATTATTATAGAAGCTTCTTTTACCTTTTGAAATTTGAGACTGTAACTTTTCTGCAGCTATATGATTACCTGCTTTAACTTTGTAAACAACTCTCCTTTCCTCTTAAATAAGTCTTAATACAGGTTATTACAGGACTGGCTACAAACATTGTCTTTGATGTGAGATCTAAGATTCAATTGACCTAAGTAAGTTACTGGTCCTTTGGGACAAGGTCAGGCTTGACAAAGCCCTGGCTGGGATGATTTAGTTGAGGATTGGCCCTGCTTTGAGCAGGGGGTTGGACTAGATGACCTCCTGAGGTCCCTTCTAACCCTGATATTCTATGACTGGCAGTAACCTGAACATTGCTGTGATTTGTGGTGTAAGGCAGTGGTTCTCAACCAGGGGTCTGGGGCCTGCTGGGAGGCCACTAGCAGGTTTCAGGGGGGCCACCAAGCAAGGCCAGCATTAGACTCACTGAGGCCCAGGGCAGAAAGCTGAAGTCCCAGCGCAGGGGGCTGAAGTCCAGGGCCCTGAGCCCCACCACTCGGGGCTGAAGCCAAAGACTAAGCAATGTAGATTTGTGGGGCCCCTCTGGCATGGTACCCTGAGAGAGGAAGAAAATGCCCCAAGGACTCAGCCAGAGGGTTGAGCCCTGACACACTACTGGCTTAGAGGTTCTCTGCCAGTCAGGAAGGGGGAGCAGTGAGGGAAGACTGGCAACTGATGGTTGGAGGGGTGAAGAGGTTTGGGCTATGGTGTGGGGGAAGAAGTATCTGAGACTGGATAACCTGGGGCTGGGCAGTCTCCATAGGGGACACTTGCTCCTCCTGTGCCCTTTCCACACCCTCTTGCGAGTTGACAATGACCACCCTCTCCCCACCCCGAGAGGCAGCCATGTCTCAGGACTCTTCCACGTTGCACCCAGTATCTCTCTTCCTATTTGGGGTATAGCTCGGGGCAACAATTTCCCACCAAGATCAACCCAGCTGTCTGTTGGCTGTTCTGGTGCGACAGGGTGGGTGAAAGGCAGAACTGCAGCACTTCTCGGGCAGAATTTATTTTCTTCATGCAAAAAAAAAAAAAAAAGTTGGCGCTGGACATGAATTCTGTGCATACGCAGTGGCACAGAATTCCCACATGAGTAACTCACACCCGGCTTTCACTCCCATCAGTGCTGGCAAGACCCAATCCAGTTACAGGACTGAACCCTTATTCTCCAATCACATGGAACAGTCTCAGCTGAGGGTGGGTGAGAGTGGGAGGGGGTACAAAGGGAAAAGAGTTGTTGTAGTCATGTTGGTCCCAAGATATCAAAGAGGTATTTTTAATTGGTTCTAAAAAATTAACTCACCTACCTTGTCTCTCCAAGAGATCTGAAAGTGGCAGAAGGAGACAAACAAGAAGACAGAGCTCAGGACTCTAAATCAAACATTTTCAATCCCCTGGAAGAAACTACTTTTCCCTTCTGCTCCGGGTATGTTTGTATGCTATATAAGGGACCACCCCATTCCTCTCACAGCAGCAAAGGGAGACTGCAGCCAGCCCCAGATGGTCTTTCCCGATCCTGGGATGTGCATTGTGACAAAGTTTGTGTGTGGTGGGTGCACGGGCTGGGTACAGCTAGGCCGATCTGCAGACTGGAAAGTCAGGGCAACTCCAGCACAGCATGGGGCCTGTGGGCACGGGTAGTATTTCTGGAGCTGGGCCTCTGTCCCCTCCAGGTCCCATGGCAGATGGCTCTGGAAGCATCAAGTGGGTCCAGCACTGCAGGGGAAGGTTGGGGTAGTGTCTGAGATCGGGGTGAGAATTGGAGGGGGGTCTATGCTCAAGAATGGGGAATGGAATTCACCTCCCCACCCCTCTGCAGAGCCCAGCAACTAGGGGTTTATCCTGTGAAGTGAATTTCACTCTGGGCGACTTTGAGCCGGCAACTGAAAGATCCTTGTGCCTTAGGTTCCACACTGGCCACAGGAGTTTACTAGTACTCCCTCCCCAGACTCCCTGGGGCAGCCAGGGATAATTAGTGGGTTATGGGAATTAGAAGATGAAAATTTCCTAAGAACAATGATATTTGTGTGTTTATTATTAAATCCCCAGACTCCCACCAATCCCCATCCTTCTTCCGATGAGCTATAAATATCTAAGGGACTCAGCTACTGATCCTGCAGTCAGTTCCTGCCCTTCCCCATTTTCTATAGCAGCACTTTTAAGAACAGGACAGGGAAACATGTAAATACTTTGAACCAAATTCCAGAAGCTGCTGGGCATGCACAAGCTAAAATGAAACTAAGGTTCCGTCTCTCCAAGGACCTGGCCCCTTGTGCAAAATAATAGACACTCCCCAGAAATATGAAACAGCAACTTCATAACTGATAGAATGTTATTTATCTATTGACTTCTGGGAATTACCAATAAAAAAAAACCTAATCTAGTAAAGGTGATATCCTGAGGAAAAGATCTCATGTGTCTTTACAGATCGGTATGATCTAATCTGGAACTTGATACACTAAAATGCCTAATTCGTAGCCCTATGGCAATTGCCTGGTGTTACTACAGGGCCGAATTAAGGTTGGGTGCCTTAGCTGTGACTTTCCATCCCCTAGCATATTGTGATTGCTGTTAAGTGGGTTTGACAAAATTCATTTTGTCTATTTCTTTCTTTTAATTTCAATAGATGGTATCCATATTTATTTTTAAGCCCTTTTTTCAATGTTATAATTTCAATGTTCAGAGCTGTGGGACGTTATGGGGGTCATCAGACAACAATTATTTAACAATAGTAAATGTTGAGATTCCAAAAGCCAAATCATATAACTGTTCAAAGAGAAATTGTTAATGTCACACGCAAAATATACAGTGTAAATATCCTTAAATCAAACTCGACTTTCTCC